CAGCGCCAGGCTCCTTCACACCTTGTGATGGACACGATGCATGTTTGGTCTGCGTTTAAACATTGATTGGGCTAGTCATTAGCATTCTAGCATTCCGCTTCGTTATCTTGTACTACGTGAATGAGGTCCGTCCCGGTCAGGTCGGGATTTGTATCTAAGTCTTCCCTGCGCTATTCAGCACCATTTTGTATGTATTGGAATGCACATTGCTTGTTGAGATTCTACTTGCACTGCATTGTCCATTCAGTCCTTTTTATCACATTGCGGATCCTCGGTTATTGCGTACATCGCCTGACTGGGCATGTGACAGTTGGTATCGGAACACTGCACATGAATCAGGACAACCTGATCTGACACGTGTGCGGGGACTAGGTAGCTGATTAGTCTTGATAGATTGATTAGAACACACTAGTTAGCCTCCAAAATCACGATTTTGACCTTACTGTCGAAAATCGATTTTTTTCCCTTTTTCTTGGATTTTGTTTTCTCGCTATTTCTGTTGTGGAAAATCGCAATAGCGCAACATGTGAAATTTCCAGTTTTGTTTTTCTTCTGAAAATTCGAAATTTCGTTGTTGAAAATCCGGAATATCCTTCTTTTCGAAAAGTTCGATTTCCTGTTGCATTTCCCGTTACTTGGAAATTTGGAATATTTTTTTTCGAAATTCGTTTTTCTGAAAACGATACGGAAATCTCTCCTGCGGGTATTATTTTCCAAACTGTGAATACTCCTATCTGAGTAAGTCCGAATACTTGATTTCTTTTCGGAATTTTTTTTTCCGCAGTTCTAGGATTTTGTTAGTCACAGTTCTATAATCATTTGCAGTCTAAAGTCGAAATTTTTTTCTCATTGATCATTTCGCACTTCAAGGGAGGTTGGGAGACCTACTGAACTTGCAACACTCGGGATTTTTTTTTCTTCGAAATTTTTTGCAAAGTTCAAACTTTTTATTGATTAGTGGCTCCTTATCTGGGCGATTCTCCCCACCCACCCTCCCCACCTATGTTGTTGCCCCCTCTGGTCTTACCTTCTCTACCTATCTCCGGGTACCCCCTCCGGCGGCATTGGTGAGTTGCCACGTCAGCAGGCCACGTCAGCAGGCCTTGTCAGTAGACTACGTCAACACGCCACGTCAGCAGACTACGTCAGCAGGCCACATCAGCAGGACACGTCAGCAGGCCACAGGGAATACCACGTCAGCAGGCCCCCGACCTGGTTTATGCTGTTGCGTTCACATACAGTCGTCATGGACAAGAGGTCCGAAGAAATTGACGAGGCCTATCAGGCCCGGATGCTGGCCTGGAGTATCGAAACCAAGAGACGGGCGGATGACGCAGCAACAGCAGTGAAGAAGAAGGCAGAGGACGCCGAGCAGGCACGTCTGCTGGCACTTGAACAGCAGCGCCAGCACAACGAGGCAGCAGCAAAGGCTACTGATGAAGAACGAGTTCAAACCGGGGAAATATATTTAGCGGAGAGCAAACTTTGCTCACAATGGCAGCGGAATGGCGGACTGAGGCCAAGAATGGCAAGATGGAGGATAGCGAAAATAAGATCGCTCTACTCCTTTCCCATCTCACAGACCTCCTGGCGACATGCATTACACAGCAGGAGGATATCCATAGCCTCGACGACTCGTTGACTCAAGTCCACGTCCGCCTCCGGTAGCTGGAGCAGCGACCTGCCGCCGTCCTGGATGCAAGCTCTTCCAACACCTTCGATCGCCTCGAAGCATTAGAGATGGACGTCGGCTCCCTCAAGGACGGCGTGCAGTTACAGCAGACCGCAGCGCAACAGTTGGAGCAGCGGATCTGTACTACCGCCAACAACTCGAGTTCGGAACCGCGCGAGACAACTCCAAAGTTTGACGGCCAGGAGATCTTCTACGACTCGACGAAGACAGATCCGATTCCATGGTTCCGCAAGTTCGAGCTCACGCTGCAGCTACACTACGTCAAAGAACACAAGCACCACGCGTACTTATACTCCCGGTCGGAGGGCGCGTGCCAGGTATGGTTGGACAATCTCTTGTCCAAGTACGGAGTGGTAGCTGCCGACTTGCACACCAAGATCAGTTGGGATGATCTGAAGGCAGCGTGGCACAAGCGGTTCCAAGTAGAGCCGTCGGAGATCAAGGCAATGGACAAGCTAATGGTCTTCGAACAAGGCACGCTACCGAGTGTCGACTGGATTGCCGAGTACCAACGCTTGACATCAGTCCCAGACATCCAGATGGGCTTCAAAGCCATCCGCCACTATTTCATCTCAAGGTCGTGTCCGACATTAAGCAATGCCCTGACTCACGTCGAGGACACCTTGACGACTACGGCGAAACTCTTTGACAAGGCCGCGCAGATTATCATCACGAACAAGGAGGCTAAGAACCTGCGTTCGTCTGTGCCAGGCCCGAGCAGACATCAGCATCGGCCAAGAGTGGCAGTGGTCGCGGTGGCAACGCTGTTTGACCAAACTAGCGAGGCCGTGTCTGCCAATGAAGGGGACAGACTCGCAGCCGCCCGGGAAGGTGGCCGCCCCGGCAAAGGCCGAGGACGTGGCAAGACGAAGACAAACACCGCATCTAGCCCCGGGCCCGGCGCAACAGCTCCGGCCCCATGGTCCCAATACGGCATCTCCGAGCAAGCATTCAAAGAGTGCACGAGATTCCACTGCTGCCTATGGTGCAACAACGATCTCCATGAGACGTTGGCCTACCCGTTGAAAGACAAGGGCAAATCGGAAAACTGAGCACCACCGAGAGTGACTCGACGACACTCTCAACTCCTTCGGAACCGGTCGTTTCGCGGGTGACCGCCCTTCGTTCCAAGGCACATGTGAAAGTCGATAGTCCTCTTCTATATTTTTTTGAGGACTATGCTGCCCGACTCGTTCCCACGCTGGGTACTCAAGCTCAAGGATAAGACGTGTGTGCGGCATCTTCTCCGTCCGGCAGCGGCCACTTATCGTCTTCAAGTGGTTCTTCATGGGATTCGGCGCGCGGGTTCAACATAGAGGTATTGGACCCACTCACGTCCGAGGACTTCGCATGGCTTCCTCTCCCGACCACGGGTCACCTGCCGGGACCGCAAATGCGCAGCACTATGCGTTCATCTCCACACATACTTATCCTTCTATGCACCACCAACTTCGTCGACGGATGCCGAAGTCGCGGTGGGGGACATCCTTGCGTATGTTACCAAGGTGGCCCGCGAGTTTCGCACGCAGCGGTGCGATGACAACAACGCACCGCCCATGTATGTCCGCATCCAGGTTGGGCAAGCGTCCTGCAGTGCTTTGCTGGATAGCGGCGCGTCTCGCAATTTCATGAGCCAAGCCTTTATGCAAAGGGCTGGCCTTGGCGCACAAGTTCGAAGGAAGGCAAACTCGACGGCGATCAAGTTGGCGGATGGAAAGACGCAGCAACTTCTCGACCGTTACATCGAGGTCGTACCGGTGTATTTCGCACCTCATGCATGCGAACCGGTGACGTTCGACATTCTGGACACGAACTTCGACATCATTCTGGGAATGCCTTGGCTCGCAAGTGCGGATCACACGGTCAACTTCCACCGGCAGACTCTTAGCGTTCACGACGCCTTTGGCGCCGAAGTGGCGTGTACTATTCCTTTTCCGCACCCTTCAATTCAGTGTCAAGTGGTGACGGATTCAGGGCGACTTGCGCTTACAAGCAGCCCGAGGAGATCGGCCTATGTTTCCTACGGACCATCGCGGTAGCCAACTCTTCACCCGCGGACTTGTCTTCGGACCCCCGGGTGGTGCGGTTGTTGGACGAGTTCGCCGACATCTTCGAGTCACCTACCGGTGTGGTGCCGGATCGGCCGATCTCTCACGAGATCATTCTTCAGGCTGGTGTCGTGCCGCCAAAAGGTTGCATCTATCGGATGAGCGAGGAGGAGCTTGAGGTCCTCCGCGCACAACTCGACGAAGGGCTGGATCCGCCCTAGTAGCTCCCCATATGGAGCACCAGTTCTCTTCGTCCGGAAGAAGAACAAGGATCTATGATTGTGTATCGACTACCGCAAGCTCAACGCACAAACCGTCAAGAATGCGGGGCCACTTCCTCGCATCGACGATCTTCTTGAGCAATTGGGCGGCGCAAAGTATTTTTCTAAGTTGGATTTAAAGTCGGGATATCATCAAATCTCGATCCGGCGGAACGATCGCTACAAATCCTCGTTCAAGACGCGGTACGGGCATTTTGAGTGGGTGGTCATGCCTTTTGGCCTTACCAACGCCCCGACGACCTTTCAAGCGGCAATGACCAACAAGTTCGGTGCAATGTTGACCGGTTCGTGCTGGTCTACTTAGGCGATATTTTCGTCTATAGCCAGATATTGGAGGATCATCTTGGGCATCTTCGACGAGTGTTGGAGATGCTCTGCCGCGTCAAGTACAAGGCCAACCGCGACAAGTGCAAATTTGCCCGGCAAGATGTGGAATACTTGGGCCATTTTGCCACTGTGGAGGGCATCAGTCCACTATCGGACAAGATTCAAGCCATCCAAGAGTGGTCGGAGCCACGGAATGTCATGGATATCCGTTCGTTCCTTGGCCTCGCTGGCTACTACCAGCGTTTCATCAAGGGCTACTCGAAGATCGCGGCCCACTTGACCAAGCTTCAATGCGAGGATCGACCATTCGACTTCGGAGAGGATGCGCGGGAATCATTTTTGACTCTCAAAGCCGCACTATTATCAGCAGAGGTCTTGCGCATATATGACCCGCTTTTGCCTACGCGCGTCACTACGGATGCGTCCGGCTATGGCATCGGTGCCGTCCTCGAGAAACACGATGGCGTGGACTGGCACCCGGTCAAGTATTTCAGCAAGAAAGTGCCGGTTGTGCACTCCATTGACGATGCACACAAAAAGGAGCTCCTTGCCTTCTTCCACGCGCTCAAGCGATGGCGGCACTTCCTCCTTGGTTGAAGCCAATTCCGATTTGTAGCGGACAACAATCCGTTGGTCGTTTACAAGACCCAAGACACCGTTAACAGCACCATCGCTCGATGGATGACTTTCATCGACCAGTTCGACTTCTTTCTCGATCACATTGCGGGGAAGTCGAACCGTTTTGCGGATGCTCTTTCACGGCGTCCAGATCATTGTACCGCGGTCTACTCAATCTTCGAGATCGACGACGACCTGTGGAACAGCTTCATCCACGGCTACCAAGTCGACCCCGAGTTTCGCGACAAGTACGCGAGTTGCTCCTCTCCTAATCCGGCGCCTTCTCACTACCGGATCCAAGAGGGGTACTTGCTTATCCACACGTGGGGGAGGGACCTTCTTTGCGTACCGAGTGATCCTCACTTGCGTACACAGCTTCTTGGCGAGTTTCACGATGCTCCCGCCACTGGACACTTTGGAGTTAATCGCACGATTGGCGGACTTCGCGAGCGATTTTGGTGGCCCGGCCTTCTCGGCGACGTCACACGCTATTGCGAGTCATGCGAGGTTTGCCGACGCTGCAAATCCCGCAACCATCGTCCGTACGGCGAGTTACGACCATTACCGGTCCCGTTGAGGCGAAGGGAAGTGATTGCTATGGACATTACCGGCCCATTCCCCAAGCACAAGACCGGAGTGGATGGGATTCTCACGGTGGTCGACCGACTCACCACGTTCGTCATGTTTTTGCCTTGTCGCTATCATGCCAAGGCACCGGAGTTGGTCGAGGTTCTCTACGCTGGTTGGATTCGAACCAAGGGTTACCCCAAGGAAATCGTTTGCAACCGCGACACTCGGTTCATGTCCGATTTTTGGTTGGCGCTCATCAAGCGATGGGGCTCATCTCTCAAGCCTAGTTCAGCTCGCCACCCTCAGACCGATGGCCAAACAGAGAGGGCGCACCAGACCGCACAGGTTCTCCTTCGCACTCTCATCCGTCCTGACGAGAAGGATTGGGTTGGGCGGCTGCCAGATGTCGAGTTGGCCTACAACTCCTCCATCCACCCGGCTATCGGGATATCGCCCTTCGAGTTCGAGCACGGCTCGCCGGTCACTTCGTCGTTGGACACCATCACTCCACAAACGGTCGAGAGCGACGACCATCTTCTTTTCTTGCGTCGGATGCAAGAGCTACTTGTCAAGACACGCGACCAGATGGCCAAGACGGAGCAATGCATGAGCCAGCAGGCCAATCGCCAGCATCTTCCTTGCCCATTCCGCGCCGGCGATCTCGTTTGGGTCTCAGCCGCGGAATTCAGCCTTGAACAAGATATCTCTTGCAAGCTCCTTCCGAAATGGATGGGGCCTTGGCCAATCGTAGCACCCGCTTGAGACGCACCCGAGGGACCTTCCTTCACGATTCAGGTGCCCGCCCACTTGGCCGTCTACCCAGTCTTTCATTGCTCCAAGTTGGCTCTTTACACGCCAGTGGAGCATGACGATTTTCCCGGGAGACGTTTGCAAGACCCACCCTCTATGGACGGTTTTAAGGAGGTCGGCGACATCATCTCCCAGCGACGCTACGACAACAGGCCGACCGAGTATTTGGTGCATTTTGCATACTGCACACACCGAGTTGACCGTTGGTTGACCCTTGCGGAACTTCAAGCAACAGCTCCAGACGTTCTCGCACGATACGAACGCAAGATGCAAGGCAAGCCGGTCTCTTCGGCTCCACGCCACGCCCGCGTCCAGGTTCCACCTTCAGATCGTCGGCTTCGCCCTCGCCCCGGCTTGACTTCATAAGGAGGGGGGGGTGTTACATGCTGCGTTTGCACACGAGGGCCATTTTCCACGCCCTGCATCCCTCAGGCCGAAAGCCTGAAAACCAGGGCCTACAGGCCCCGTGACCATTCAGCTCGAAAACCTGAAATCCAGGGGCCTACAGACCCTATGTCGTTTCAGACTAAAAATGGCAGCAGCCTTTTTAGCCTGAAACGAAGGGCCATTTCCGGCCTGTCATCAGACCGGCCTGCCCTGAAACTCAAGCACCGAACCAGGGTTTTAGGAACAGGCTATTTTTGGCCTGTTCCCACGACAGCTGCAGCGCCAGCCCCTAGCTCAGCGTGGCATTGGCAAGAGCAACCTCCTGGACTGCCCGCCCTGCAACTGCAGGCAGTCAGAGGCAGTCGGGAGGCAGGCCGAGGTAGTACATAAGGACTTCCCATGCACTTCACGGGTAGGCAGGAGGCAGGAGGCAGTCAGTAGTCTTCAGGACTCGGCAGCAGCACTCTGGAGGGAGCGCTGCAGGAGCAGTAGTAGCGTTAGCATTAGTCTTCAGCACTGGGCGCCAGTAGGTAGCTGTAGTCTTCAGCGCTGGGCGCCATAGTTAGGATAGTACTAGAGAGAGAGAGAGAGATTGGGCGGAGGCCACGAGTACCTATCTGCAGCGCCGTTGCTCCAGCTTCGTCTTCGAGGTACCTGCAGCACAGCGCCAACTTCACAGGTTAGTATCTGACTCGTGACAGAGAGAGAGTTCTTCTTCTTCCTCTTCTCAGTCCACCATCTCCCTCTCACCCTCTCATTATTTGACTTCACTGCATCAACAGACTACGAGAGAAAGAGAGAGAGAGAGTTTGGTGACATTGGATCCAGACTCGACTTTTGGGCTTCAAACATTGCAACGAGGGATTATTTGGGACTTGTGACAAAGACTTGGTGTCGACGACATTCCCATCTCTCCACCTCTTCTTCGTTTGATCCCCTCCTCTTCGTCTGTGTATGTCTGGACCTGGCGCTTCCTTCCTGTGTACAGCGCCAGGCTCCTTCACACCTTGTGATGGACATGATGCATGTTTGGTCTGCGTTTAAACATTGATTGGGCTAGTCATTAGCATTCTAGCATTCTGCTTCATTATCTTGTATTACGTGAATGAGGTCCGTCCCAGTCAGGTCAAGATTTGTATCTAAGTCTTCCCTGCGCTATTCAGCACCATTTTGTATGTATCGGAATGCACATTGCTTGTTGAGATTCTACTTGCACTGCATTGTCCATTCAGTCCTTTTTATCACATTGCGGATCCTCGGTTATTGTGTACATCGCTCGACTGGGCATGTAATACGTGTGTGGGTGGGTGGGTGGGTGGGGCGTTAACCTGAGGTACTTGTTAACCCCCTTCGTTTTTTCTTTCGCTAATCCAACAGCTAACCGGGCTCCCGAATCCTCGAAGAATTTGGCGTGAAAGGCTCTCTCCTCCTCAGTGAGGGGGAGGTCATCATCTGAATCAGGCTCCGAGGAGCAGGGGGCCTGGGCTGCAGGGTGGATAAGATCTGCATGGAAATCAGAGGAAGCATTCCACAGATCCACAAAGACCTTCTCTTTAATCATAATCTCATCCCTAATCGATGCTTCAGTCAACTGATCCTCTGCCATCATCTCCCTAGAGTTAAGGACATACGCCTTAGACATCTCTGGAAACGACTCCTTGTCATACGTGGATGACCAAATGATGTCTGCCCAATCATTGAACGATAGAACCGAGATGAGAGGAGGGTAAGGGGCAGGGGCATGGAGGGAATTTAGCTTGACATAATTCATGACATTCGGATGAGCCAACGCCATCAAGGCCTGAGCAGGGCGAGACGGAGGGATGAACTGCTCCATCCAGGCTTGTTCCCCCTGGATGAGCTCAGACTACCAACCATTTGGAGAGAAGATGGGCTTCTGTCACATGGCAAAACCACAACACCTGGTGAGCAATCATGGAGCAATTTTTTCCAGAAAATCGACATAGTCTTCCCTACAACACTTCATTCCTTCGTAACACTGGGACTGCACTTCAATTATCAGGAAGGTTGCCAGAGCCACTGTGCACAACCCGGCTGGGTGGAGTTCACCACCCGGTTGGCAAACGGGCGGGCGCTGGTGCCCAGTGAGTGTGTGATACTTGTTACTAAACCCCCACGACATTAGACGCGGCGGGCTGCAAAGCTTGGCTCTGGAACGCACCCCCGAGAGGCAACAGCGTACTTCTAGGAGATTTAAAGCGAGTTTAGCAGGAAGAAAAACTCTATCGACTTGTTTTTTGGAAAAGATTTTCGAGGCTCCATAGCCGTAGTGATGCGCAATAGCCTCAGACTAAGCCAAACCATTCTTCCAAATGAGGGGTTCAAAGAGTTCACTAAAGAAGGGCTTCCGGGCCACAAGTTCGAGGGCGAAGGAATGAAGAACAGAAGAAGAGAAGCCTATTCACAGACCATCACCAGATTCACCCCATCATAAAACACTACCAGACTTGGAACTACTATGAGTGGAATTCCAGTCGATGCAAAAACCGCGGAATGAAAAAAGACCATCTTGTGACTCCATACGACACTTTCACAAAAAAGCACTTGCATAAAGATAAATCACCGGACCCCGGGCGTCTGCCGACCGCCCGAGCCTGATCAATCATTATTCCCTAGTTTATTCGAGAGGCGAAGGAGAGGGATGAAAACAGAATCGAGCTTCTCATCACAAACAATCATGCACGGAGGGAGAAGGGAGAAGGTAGCAAAGGGAGGGGGAGAGGCGATACATGTAGATACAAATATATACACACGTAAGCCCCCGCATACATATATACATATATGCTTATATAAATATTGCCGAGGGGGGGTTTCAATCGAGAAGAAATTTGCACAAGACAACAATATCTCATTCAAAAGTGGCACCGCAATTATTCTTCGAAAGAGCCTCAGAACCCTATCATAAGGCTGGGGAAATCATTGATAACGACATCAACAGACAGGCGATCACACCACCCGCGAAGTAATCCCTCAATAACCCCAGCTTGAGCAGCGAAGCCACACACTACGAAGCTCCCCCGGGTCAGCAATCATTAGCCACCACTCCATTTGATCGCGCGCAAATTACTCCCATGAGAAGCGACCTACATAACTCCCGCCAAAAAGCAGAAGAAGGCATGGCAGCAGCAGCAGCGGATGCAACCAGCAGGATTAGCGAAACAGAGAACGACTAACGCCATCATGAAGGACCAATGCATCATGATCACAGTAATGAGGATCTCATTACCACCAGCATACCCATACCCACTAGTTCCCTTCATGGACATCCCCTCTCCAGGGCAGAGCATGCCACCACCGACAATCATCATGACGGTAATCATCGGACTTATTACAATCAACGCCAGCGCCACCCCCCACATACTTCGATGCAACCCTCCACAATTCATCACAAAATTGAAAATTCCCCATCACTTCTCCGCCAGACATCTACCCCTATTCGAAACCCCCACTGATTGATTCGAATGCAAAGATAGTTGGAGGCAAAAAGCTCTGATGCACACGCTCTCCAAGTATGCCATGAAGGCCAAGTAGCCGAACAAGATGGAGCAGACAACGACGATCCCTAGGACGAAAATGGCTGCTTCCATAATCAACTTCAGAGACACGCAGACTCGGCCACAATTTCCTAGCACAAACAACAAAGGAAGCAACAACGGACATTTTCACAAGAGGGGCTCGGTTAAGTAGTATCATGCATCCACATACCAAGGGAGGGACGGAAGGAAACAGAAGGGGGGAGAAAAGAAAGAGAGAAGGTCCCAGTCTGGTCATGCGGCCCTGTATATGCCGACGTTACAAAAAGGTTTTGGCGGGCATTCCCAAAGGCCTTTTCGCCAATCCCCACCATCGATTGGCTCGTCAGGGGTTAAAATCACCTTAAGTACACGTTCCGGAAGGGACTCGGCTCACTTTCGAGCTCCTTTAGAGAGAAGGACGGGAGGGAGGGCGTCGGGGGTGGGTGGTGGGGTAAGGAGCAAGAGGAGCATTACCGTCGCCCGCGATGCTGAAGACGAAGATGAAGGCACGCCGCTCATAGTAAGCTTTCAGCATCAAGCACGTCAAAAAATTCCTTTCACTATCGGTATGAATGATGAGTGAAGATCAGGACGAAGGCAGGGGAGAGGAAGAGAGAGGATGAAGAGAGGCGGGAGGGAGAAGGGAAAAAGCGAGAAGCAGAGGAGGCAGACGAATCCCGATCACCTATCCTTCAAATGAGAGCGACATCATTCAAAGCCCTTCACCTATGACAACAGAGCAATCAGCGCATAAAGACGCCGTCAAGCGCCGCGTAACGAGTAATCGTACGAGCGCGCCGGATGAGGAGAGGCTGAGTACTGTAGCCACGCGCTCTTTTATATGATGGTCGCGCGTTCTTTTCGAAACAGTGGGCGGGAATCAGTTTTGGCCTAAGTGCCATAATCATTTGTATGGTACCCCATCAAGCG